ATTTAAATAAAACGTGGAGAATATAGATTTTTTAATTATCTATCCATTTAGTGTTATCCTCAAATTGATTGAGAGCGTTGCGTTTAGCAACAGATGCATGTAATCACAGAATTTTAGTCATTTTTTAAAAGTTGATTTTAAATGTATTTATAGCACATAAAAATAAATTAGAACGTGGAATGCGATGATAAGATATCGAACATTAATAATGTACTTTTAGATGTAGTTTATTTTTCATAACTAATGAGATAATAGAGTCTGAAAAACGCACTTTCGCAACATTTTGGTCAGGGATTCACCTTAATTATCATAACTACAGATGTGATGGCGGTTGTTGACGTTTTTAACCAAGCCGATAACAACGGTTGTTTTTGGCTTGAAATTGATAAAAATATTTTTTGTGCAATAAGTTTTTATCTATCGTAATGACTACGCAGGAAGCCCTATAATGTAGACTATTCCTTTTTTTGAGCTACAAGTAGCTTATTTTCAAGAACCGCAATTACAATTTTGTTCTTTATACAAACACTAGGAAAAACTAAGTAACTTTTTGCTGGCATTATCGCCATATGATAGTGGTATTTTAACTCGATGTAGAATCTATGCTTGTTACTACGGAACTCTCCATTGGCTTGCGAGGCCGATTCACATTGGGCCACTTTTTCCAACTTTTGGTTATATTTTTTAATTATTTTTTCGCTTAAGTGGAGCTCTGTTATTTTAGATTTATTACCTATATCTAAAACAATCAACCTAAGTAGGTGAAGTGTGTAAATACGATTGTTAATTTGTAAAAATAATAATAGGATTTGATCATCTTAGGTAAGTATTTACTTTTATTTATTTAGAAAGTATTAATATCACAAATAATTATTTTATCACACAACTACCACCCTCATTAGCAATGTAATGGTGAAAGAATTTTCAAAATCGGTCAAGTATTTTTCGAGATTTGCTAATAAAAACATATTCGCAGAAAGTAGCGCCCTCTATAATAAAATGCATCCTACATTAGATATCTATAATTATACATAACATTATAGCGGTGAAGGTATTTTACGAGTTTAGATAAATAAATATATTCGTTGAAAGTAGCGTTCTCTATCATAAAATGCATCGTACGTTTCACAGTCATAATAGAATTCTAATGACGAAAGAATTTTTTTTTAAATCGGTCAAGTAGTTGTTTAAGCACCAATGCAAAAAGCGATTCAGCTTAGCCACCCGCACACACAGTAAACACATAACCATCCTTTTTCGTCTGTAGTCGGATAAATAACTGGTTGACTACGGTTGCGTATCAAAACGATAACGATAACAACCTTGAAACTCTTTATCAAAATAAATCACTTAAGATCTTGTCTGATACACGAGGCTTAAACCTTCTTCTAAAATCTTAATCCGGTCTTGTCATCGTAATTTCACCTCAGAAGCCCTGAGATTGAGTAAGAATAAACTGCTTATTCAGGTAAGAGCCATGCCTGGACACCGCTGTCTAAAAAGCAGCTATCCATCCTGAGACTAAGTAATTCAAGCATGTGCCGATACTGTTCTTTAACGGAACAAACACCTCTATTCATCTTAACTGATAGTGAACCCTTAAATCGTACACGTAATACTCAACTGGAAATATATGTCTAGTAACTACTTCAATTTATTGAAGACGTGGGGATTAGATCACTTTAAATCTTAAAGTTTGCAGATACTCGCTTTCTGGACTTGCATAGCTGCTTGCACAAAATAAAAAATAAAAGAGCTTTTAAGCGATTACTTGATTCTATTCTTAGAGGATGTTTTTAATTCTTATTTTTGTAGTATTTTAACTTATATTGTTAAATTACAATAAAAATAGTTTTTTATACAATTAAAGTAATGAACGCATCAGCAATAAAATATAAAGAAACGACCGTGCCGGTCTCCCCAAGCAATTGGCAGAGAATTTATTCATCCAAGCAATTTTCATAGAAGCGCAAAATATCCTAGGCATTCCGAAGTGATTCAATAACTGCCCGGGCGAAGCCTCTTATACGTAATTTTATGGCTATTACTCTATATAAGGTTTGATGTTCAAAATTAAACCACCATACCCTAACTGCCTAGTAAAAATAACTGTGAGTAATGTTTTTCTCTACTGTGTCTTTCTTAATGTCATTTCTGGGGAGGTTTTTACTCTGTGGCCAGTAAATCGTGTCTACTAGGCCGAGTAAAAAGTGATTTAACGGTTGCCTCGGGCATCGGAAGACATGTTAATAGCAATCGAGTAGGTACCATGGATCCGACCAATGGCAGGCTCGAGATATTAGATTCCTAGGCGCAACACAACATTTTGTGTACCTACTTGATTCTGTTAGATAGTGTATTATATTTTAGTATAGCTAAATATCAACTCACGAACCCTGTACTTTTATAGTATCATATTTACATTGAGTGGAAAACAGCATTAATTTTAAGCCCCTTAGAATCCGGTTAATCTGGATAAAATGCATATATTGCAACAAATGTCCTTGTGAAAAACCTATGAGAAAACCTAGTTTATGACTAAAAGGAATTGCAACTTTGTGACAGAAGCATTGCGTTAAAAAATGATTTCATTTTATCAGAAATATAACACAGGCGCATAATGTAGGCTAGTAACAATTTTCTGGTAAACCGACCACTTTAAACTTAACCGTAACAAACATGGGTAGTGGGTTAACCGCAACGACTATGTTTCAGGTTCAAACGTTGTGTATTTACAAATTCAGTGAAAATTTTAGCTTTATTTGTAGATCATATTTCGATATGAAATACGAGCACTTAAAAATATTTGTGTTTGAATACAAACTTTACTTCAAATTATTATGGTACAATTCGTTTGGATGAATAATTTATAAGAAAGTTATTTATACAATAAAATCTACCTAAGTGAACCAGTATTATAAAAACTAACGGAGAAAAAGAGCATTAAGCTGGTATTTTATGAGAGCATATCGCTATCCCGATCAAGCTGACCCATTCGTGCTACAACCATAATATAGCTGCAGCGTGGCTCTACCAGGTATAAATTACACACATCATTTTATTACTTACGTACATCATTTTATTAATTTATACAATATTATCTACATTTAACGTTAGCACAATTTATCTTTACCAGGCCTTTTACGACAGATACCAGATTGAATTTACTAAATGTAGCGGTCATTCTTCATACTGTATCTGGGTACATTAATTTGCTTTACGGTTCAGAACACCCAACTCTATATCAATGCCAGTCGCGTGGTAGAGTAAATCAAGGCCGCCTTCCACTGCTTACTGAGTCTTTAATGATGACCCCGTAATACTTAATTAACCCTAGGTAACTAAACTATATTCGTAGATACATAGTAACTAAACTTTCATCAGGCAGACTACACAATAAAAAACATGAAAATTATCAAAAGTATTTATTAAAATAGGAACTGTTTACATGGCACTTAAGTTTGGTTTAATAGCAACTGATGTGAAAGTCATTTAACAAAAAATAATTATATTGCGCAGCTACTACACACGTCAATATTGTGCGATCCACAAATGGCATTTTTGCATTTAATGCATCGATGTTTTGTTATTCTACGAGACTTTGATGGACACAGGTAACATATTTTACGCACATTGGTCACAAAATAACCAGTGACTTCAGGTTCTGATGACTCACCAAGAATATCTTTTATCATAACCTTGATTTCACGCCTCAAAGTCACCGTTTGTAATCGCTCCCTTAGCCAAGGATCCATAAGTTGGTCTCCCATCTTCATGACAAAATCGCGTCATAGTGTCAGCTTCTTCTTATTTCTCAAGTTGTTCGAGACGTAAATAGCATAGGCATTGATACTAACTAGATTTAACATATTATAAAAATGCATAATGGCCATCTGTTAGTTTTTCGGTTGACACACATATTCGAGCACATTTGATCAACCGTGTCTACGGCACCTTTAGTAGTGTTATAAAAGTGAATTATTTCCGATTTTCCTGTCGCGTCTTCAATATTTGGTTGATCATGAATTGTGGACAACACAAAAACCACTTTGTTTGACTTGGCTTTATATGAAACTAATGTCTTGTCGCCATCGTAACAAAACATCGAAGTACCAATTGCGCGAGTCCTAGAATTCTTAAGTTTTTCAGGAATTTCCCGTTTGTTACTCCTCAAAGTCCCTACTAAAGTCAAATTATAAGGTGGCTGTAATAGCTCATCGGCCAAAGTTACAGACGTGAACCAATTGTCCATCGTTATGTTACGATTGGTGCCATGTAAAGGAATTGTTATGTTTTTTATGAAGAATGTAGCCAATGGCTGTTTTTGGGTATCGGTTCCTTTTCCCAGGTATGGAATTGCATTTATGACGTATTTACTGTTAACATATGCGGCCATAATAAGCTTTTTCCCATATTTATTTGGTTTATTAGGGATATATATTCTAAATAGGCATCTTCCACGAAAGCCAACCAGTTGTTCATCTACAGTAATGTATGATCCTGGCGTTTACCATTTTTGAAAATTGTCAATCGTATTTTGCCACAGTTCACGTATGTGTATGAACTTGTCCTCTTTTCTTCTGTCATTTCTTGTTTGTTTTTCGTCAAATCGAATTCATTTAATAAGAAAATCGAATCTTTCTGCACCCATACAAGCTTTAAAAACTATGCCTGATCGTTGTGGATTGAATAGGATGCGAGTTGGCAAATGGTTGCTCTTCATAGCTGCGGCGATTAGTAACAAACCAAGCAGAGCTTTAATTTCTAACAAATTAGTCTGTGAAACGTTATAAGACTCCTGTTTATATCTATTCCTTTGAGTAATAATCTCCGCATTGGTAAATGTCACAACTAGTTGCAGCATATCATCAGTCATGAAAAGCAGAAATAAATCTATGGGTTCCTGTAATTCCCTAGCTTTTCCTCTTGGACCTGGTATAAAATGTACGATGTTCCGTCTCAGAGTACGAGTAGTAGCTGATCTAGGTACAGACGACCATTTATGTTTGTTTTTCCCATAAAGGAATCGGGGGAGTTACTTGAAGAACACGCTGGTTACCTTGGTTTGAAGTTTGAGGAGAATTAGTTTCATGAATATCCTCTAAAGAATCATCAGAGTCTACAATTTGAGTTCTTTGTCTCTTACTTGGTCGTATGATGTCATCCTCAGGTTCTGAAAATTCGTTTGAGAATTCGGAATCAGAGGTGTTGATATGTATTTCTTCCTCCACGTTATCCTCCGTCTCTGAGGCCAAATCATTCGAACCCTCCTCTTTATCTTCCACTTCTTCGAGCCACTTACTTATTTGCTCTTCTTGATTTCTCAAATCCATCTGAAAATAATAAAAAGTGCAAATCTTAGCATCAAATATTTAGTGGCAACAAAGAAATATCTCATAAAATGTATTTTTTATATTTAATTTCGCTATAAATAACTTAATATATAATTATATAGTAAAATATATGAATTTAAATAAAACTAAAAAGAAATATTTCGTGTAAACCTTGTATAAATAATATAAAAAAATAATTGTTCATACCTTTGCAAATTAACGTACGTAGTAAAACTAAACTTTCGTCAACCTGAGGACGATGTAGCCGTAGGTCACTTCCTAATTATCGCGTGATCGCAACCGCGTCACCCGATGAACTATTGGCACCAATCAGGAAGGTAAACAAAGCGGGACGGGAGCGGGGCGCGGGGAAGTAAGTGCACTTGACTTTCTTGGAGAGGGACGTAGTCGCGTGCAGTTTCGTGAAAAGAAGGCCTTACATCCTTTTATACTGGTGTAATTTCATTAGTTCATGAGTCAGAGTATATGTAAGTCATAGACTATGTTAGACGTCCCACGACGGGACTGCTAGACATCAGTCCTCCTCTATTATCTGAGAGGGATATGAAGGAATTACATTAAGAGTGCTTGATGACAATGATTTTAGATCAAATATTTATAGTTCGCTTTCATGCTAACATAAATAAAACAAAATATAACAAAACAACCCGAAACCTATAAATTAAAAGTTAAAAAAAAGTTTTGTTACCTTTTTATTCATTTCTTTTTTCTTGATATACTTAACTAAAAGAGGGTTAGGTTTTTACGTAAGTTGTGTGTGGCTTGATATCGCAAGAAAAAGTTTTTTTCACTGTCCTGTATAAAAAAAAATAATTTCATTAAAAGAAAGTGTATTCGCAACGAAAAATTTTTAGGGAGTTTTGTCTGGGAGTTGAGTCAACATTAATTTAATCAACAAAATTATAAAAATTACACGCTCTTTTGTGATTATCTTGGGCAACTTGAATTTCAAGAGTTTTGTTTCAAATAGATATATACCATATTGGCGCGAAAAGCTATGCCACAGCTATACTACGGTTAGAGTACGAATAGGTGGGCTCGATCGGGAATGATCACGCCCTCACAGAATACCAGTTTAAAATAGCAGCCTAAAGCTGCTGTATTTCGTATGGGGAGTGTAGATAACCGTACACACTTTTTACTGGAAACGAGGCATTCCATCTTAGTCCTCAGGGATGAAAAAAATGCATCCGCATTTTGATAAATACCCTCAATCCCCGGGCTTCTTCCCGGGTCGGGCCAATAAATTAATTATTGAGGTTTTCTGTCAAGAAATTCTCAGTAGCTGCCCGGAGTCAGGAAGTTGGCGGTGTCTCACCCCCGTGCCTCGGAAAGCATGTAGCTCTCTCTCTCTCTCTCTCGGTCATGTCGGTTTACCGTCCTATCGGATTACGAGAGTGAGGGAATAGAGAGTGAACCTATGCATGCACATACACTCGGGCACTATAATCCTGTCCTGCGCCGATAGCTAGCCTCCGTTGAGGCAGGCCGCCATGGCCGAAATTCGGTCTGGAGGAAATTATTATTAAATACCCCGAAAAAATACCTTAATATGTTTTATTGTGAATACATAAAAATAAGAGTGAAACAAGTACATCATGATGTTGTATCGATACAAATCACAAATGAAATGTAAATCATTTAATTTTTGACTTAAAATAAATCACACTACCTCATCTCGAATTCTTTATCTTATTAATTATATTAATGTTTTATTATTCCAGGTCTTGCTCCAGACCAATGTCAGAAAACAACTACGCGAGCGCAAGCGCTTGTGTGGGTGTTTGGCAATGGGTTTTTCCCTTTGTTCTTAAATATTTTTTTTATAGATGAGGAGGCAAACGAGCAATTACGGCTTACCTGATGCTAAGTGATTTCCATCACCCATATCTCACTATTAGCAGCATCAACTGCTTGACAGCACTATGATAATTAATATACACCCGATATTTTTCTATCTCGCAGATAATGTTTGTTCCCGGGAACATAAGTAACGAGTATAATTCAGTTGTTTTGTGTTCGCGTCCGTTTTATTATAGTAATGAGTTTTGACCTCAGCTCATTACTGGTGGCGTTAATTAAGGATCATTTTGGAATGACAAATTTAAACGAAATTCATTAATATATATGTGATATAACCTTTAAACCAAACTGGACAGTAGCACGAGCATGCGCGCGCGCGCGCGCGCGCGTGTGTGTGTGTGTGTGTGTGTGTGCTTGCGTGCGTGCGTGCGTGCGTGCGTGCGTGCGTGCGTTCGTGCGCACGTTATCATCAGAAAAATATCATCGTTATTGCAGCATATTAAATGACAATAATTACCATCGTCTTTACTATCATCGACGATGAATGCGAAGTGATGTTGCACCCCTTTCCATATTATATAGCATCTAGCACTGAAAATAATACCAGAGATTTTTCCAGACCGATATTTTTAAATGACCTTCAAGAATAAAGTTGACGAAAACATTGACGGCAGCGATTAGTAACCTTCAGGTGAGCCATGCTCACATGTCACATGCTCGTTCTCCATCATCTATCGGAAACCATGATCTCCTTTTATTTATTTTTTTCACAGTCATATCTAACAAAAGATAACATATTCTCTTTTGAGAAAATAAACGGGACTTATCTATAGAAATATAATTTAAATTAAGCAAAAATTCTTTAATAAATATTGTTATACTGATAAAGACTACATGATTGATGAAATCTGGGTATGAGTTGATTAGAACCATGCTCTTTAAATCATTTCATATTTAATTTTGCAACCTAATACAATACACCAAGTAATTCTTAAAAAAATATTCCCGCTAGGATTCTTGTCAGTTCTTTCCAGAAGGGGTATTTTCTCGGAAGCATTGGTAAAATCCGAAATGAATAAAATAATATTCTATTTTATACTATTAGTCACCATCACATTACAAATGATGGGGGTCTTTGTACTTGTAACTAAAAAAAAACATTGTTTGTAACACACTTCACTAAGTCGATCAGTTATTTTAAAAAGATAAAAACTTTTTAAATATCCAACTAAACTAAATAGTTCCAAGTAGTTTTCACTTTCATTTATTTTAAATTCGCCTTTTCGTGCACCTTCACGTAACTTCTTGAATCAAATTTCAACAATTTGAGATTTGTCGCCAAGTGAGCCAAGACCTGTTACCATCTGGACAAAGTCGGAACAAAGAGTCTGCTTAATATTGCAGGTCATTTCGCGCAGCGCAAATTGGCTACTCGTTACGTGGCAAACACAACGAAAACTGTAGAATTATTAAATAATTCAAATTACCGGTAGTTTTAAAAAAATACTCAGGTGATAATTATTTAATTTATAACAGTAAAACTAATAACTTTCTTTACTTTAAGTTCAGTAACAATATATGTTGTGGCTTCGGAACAGTCCCGATATAACATCCTTTTCCTAAGTGTTTCCTATCCTCCCGCCTCCCCCGTATACGCACTGCTCAGAATGGTGCGCCACCTATCGTCGAGAAAAAGAAGAAGCAAGATGGCCGCGCACGCATAAAACGTGTTCGTTACCGCTTGTTTAAAAATAACCAATAAATAAGTTGTAAGACTATCGTGCAATTGCTCGTGTCCATATACATTCGAAGTGCAGTGTGGTATCTGTGTATACACGAGAACTTCAGCCTGAATATACAGACTTCACCATAACAACGATGAGTGCTCCAGTCTTGTGAGTATCCTTACCTTATCTACCCAGTTCTAAAGCTATTTTCGTTTACTTCCCGGTTGGGATCATCAGGTTAGCCAGCCCTTGGTCTGGTTGTTCTCTGGTTCCCAAAACCACCCACGAAACACATTGCGAAACATTCAAGCCGTAACATAATTTCTGGTCCATACGATCCGGGTACCTATGGATTTCTATTTTTATACAGTCCGCTCCTCATAAAGATAATATCAAGTTCAATTTCTAAGGAAAACTTTGATATTTAATCTATTTTTCTTATAATTGAAAGTAACTAATTCATTTCAATTATAATCCTGCTAGACTTGAATGCTCGTAAAGTGTTTCGTATTGCTCAGACTTTGCAGACTTATCTTATTTGGTTGCGTTATAATTGCTAAGTTTATTTCGAATGTGCATTGATAGTCTTACGCTTTGAAAATTATTATAATTTGAGGGTATTTTATAATTATTGTTGGAAAAAATTACTAAATCAGTTTATGGAAATGATTAATTCGGTCTTAGAATAATAGCACTTAAGTATAAATACTTGTATATCTATGAATGTTGGGTCGTTTGTTAATTGTTATCTAATTCAAATGGTTAAAAAACGTTAACATTAAATTCAGTATTTGAATGTTAATTTAGTTTGGAGAAACTTAAATATTGTTTTAAATATCTGTCGTTAATAATTATACTTAACATTCATATTTAATTTTTCGCTGTTATTTTATAATCATGTCGCAAGAAGAAATGAAACTTAAACTTTATACGTCACAGCGAGAGTATGTTTTTCGTTCTATTCAAACTCTTTTCGATTTATCCACTCAAATACGGGAAGACTCCAGTTCTTCTAAAGTTAGCCAATTTAAATCTAGATTTCTTAAAATTGAGAACATTCGTGATGAATATGTGTTGCTTACGGAAAAAATTAATTCGTTAAAACTGGCACTGTTTCCTAAAGAAAAAATAGATATGCAAGCGTTGTCTGCATTTGATGATATGTACTATGAAGTTCTAAGTTTTGCCGCGGAGATGTCCCTACCGGAGCGCAAACGAGGCAGCAGCCCAACGTCCGCTGACGTTAACTACACCTTTACGCCTGACACGGAAAAGGTACAAGCTAGACTGCCACAAATTGAGCTTCTGAAGTTCGACGGAAAAATTGAGAATTGGCAAACATTTTACGACACTTTCGTAACGTTAATTCATAATAATAAATCAATCGCGAATATTACTAAATTTCACTATCTCATTTCTTGTTTATCGGGATCCGCTTTAGGGATCGCA